GCTGAAATAAACAATATATAAATATTAAATTATTTAACAATTTAATTTCGTGTTACACCTAAGCTGAAATAAACAATATATATCAAATTTAAATATTAGATGAAGCACTAAAATTACTGGCTGAAAATAAATAAAAACTAAACTAAAAACTGAAATAAAAATAAAATAAACCTAATTAGTAATATTTTGAAAATGGCTCTAACACAATAAAAGAATTACAAAAATATTACCAAAAATTGTAATGAAAACTAAAAATAAAATTTAATATCGGCGGCATATTCGCCGATATATCGGGCTCATATCGGCCGATAATATTTTTATTACTAATTAGGTTTAATTTATTTTAATTAATTTTTTTTGTTACTGCACCACAATTAGTGTTACAATATTTTTAGTGTTACAGCTCCACAAACTCACTTAAATATCTATATGTAAATATAATTTACATTCATGCATTTGGCAGATTCTTTTATCCAAAGTGACCTACATTGCATTAAATATATACATTTCATATGTCAATGCATTCCCTGGGAATCGAACCATGACCCTACGGTTGCGAGCGCAGGCTGAGCGCAGGCTGAGCTCCAGGAATACTGTCCTGCAGTAAAGCCGGTGTGTTTTGGAGGACTCTGGAGCTGCGTGGAGCTTTGCGTGGCTTCTGGATCTTCAGCTCCTGCTCTGGGAGCGAGTGTGTGAGTTCCAGCGCTGGTTCAGGAACGCTGTGGGATTTTACTGGAACAGACGACACACACGTGCTGGAGCTGTGAAACCGCAGCGCAATCCAACACAGCTGCTGCTCCTCATCGGCCTTCAGCAGCGCTGCTGTCGTCAGATCCCACCGTCCCTGACCGTTCAACACGAGCGGATCTCAGTCCTCGAACGTCTTCATCCACATCTCGTGCATGCTGGGAATCACTGATGCTTTTCGTTTTATTGCTGTCAAGTGATTTAAATGTTTAATCAATTCTATGATGTGCCAAGTAATCGATCACAAAGTATTTGCACATCAATTTGGGTTGAGAAATTAACCCCAAAATATCATTTGAAGTCATTATTGTGTTAAATGAGAAAAACGTTGAATAGACATTTACAAAAAGGAGCTTTAGAAAGAAATATTTTGATTCAGCAAATCACTGTCTTAATGAGTGAGTCACTGAATCATTCTTTTAACCAATTCATCCAAATGGCTGATTCATTTAGAAACAAAGCAAATGACTGTCTTTATGAATGAGTCTCTGAATCGTTGGCTCACTTGATTCATTTAAACGGCTGATTTGTTCAGAGACAAAGCAAGTGACTTTTTTATGAACGAGTCACTGAATCACTGGCTCACTTGATTTGTTCAAACAGCTGATTCATTCAGAAACAAAGCAAGTGGCTGTCTTTATGAATAAGGTAATGCGTCATTGGCTCACTTGAATCATTCAGATGGCTGATTCATTCAGAAAAAAAAGCAAGTGTGACTGTCTTTGTGAACGAGTCACTGAGTCATTGACTCACTCGATTCATTCAAATGGCTGATTTGTTCAGAAATGAAGCAAGTGACTTTTTTATGAACGAGTCACTGAATCATTGGCTCACTTGATTTGTTCAAACAGCTGATTCATTCAGAAACAAAGCAAGTGACTGTCTTTATGAATGAATCTCTGAATCATTGGCTCACTTGATTCGTTTAAACGGCTGATTCATTCAGAAACAAAGCAAGTGGCTGTCTTTATGAATGAGTCTCTGAATCATTGGCTCACTTGATTCATTTAAACGGCTGATTTGTTCAGAGACAAAGCAAGTGACTTTTTTATGAACGAGTCACTGAATCACTGGCTCACTTGATTTGTTCAAACAGCTGATTCATTCAGAAACAAAGCAAGTGGCTGTCTTTATGAATAAGGTAATGCGTCATTGGCTCACTTGAATCATTCAGATGGCTGATTCATTCAGAAAAAAAAGCAAGTGTGACTGTCTTTGTGAACGAGTCACTGAGTCATTGACTCACTCGATTCATTCAAATGGCTGATTTGTTCAGAAATGAAGCAAGTGACTTTTTTATGAACGAGTCACTGAATCATTGGCTCACTTGATTTGTTCAAACAGCTGATTCATTCAGAAACAAAGCAAGTGACTGTCTTTATGAATGAATCTCTGAATCATTGGCTCACTTGATTCGTTTAAACGGCTGATTCATTCAGAAACAAAGCAAGTGGCTGTCTTTATGAATGAGTCTCTGAATCATTGGCTCACTTGATTCATTTAAACGGCTGATTTGTTCAGAGACAAAGCAAGTGACTTTTTTATGAACGAGTCACTGAATCACTGGCTCACTTGATTTGTTCAAACAGCTGATTCATTCAGAAACAAAGCAAGTGGCTGTCTTTATGAATAAGGTAATGCGTCATTGGCTCACTTGAATCATTCAGATGGCTGATTCATTCAGAAAAAAAAGCAAGTGTGACTGTCTTTGTGAACGAGTCACTGAGTCATTGACTCACTCGATTCATTCAGATGGCTGATTTGTTCAGAAATGAAGCAGGTTACTGTCTTATGAATGAGTCACTGAATCATCAGCTCCCTCAATTTGTTCAAACAGCTGATTCATTTAGTAATAAATCACCACTGTGTTTTTATCGTACAACAGTTCTGCTGTGGCTTTATTTGTTGAAGTCGCTCTCATTGACTCACTCGATTCATTCAAATGGCTGATTTGTTCAAAAATGAAGCAGGTGACTGTCTTATGAACGAGTCACTGAATCATTGACTCACTCGATTCATTCAAATGGCTGATTTGTTCAGAAATGAAGCAAGTGACTTTTTTATGAACGAGTCACTGAATCATCAGCTCCCTCAATTTGTTCAAACAGCTGATTCATTTAGTAATAAATCACCACTGTGTTTTTATCGTACAACAGTTCTGCTGTGGCTTTATTTGTTGAAGTCGCTCTGATTTCAGGAGTTGTGTGGAAGACATTGGACGTCTTTGAGTCCTTCACGTCGCTCCTCAATCAGTGGCGCTCCGTCACAGCTGTAACAAATCGAGGAAAGACACGGAGCAGAACATTTTCTCCCTTCTTTCCCCCTCCCGAAGCTTTGTACTTAATAAATCTTTAATTTATTGCATATGGAAGAATTTCAGATGTCTCTGAGGGTTAAATGGAAGTCACTGCCACATGTAGCAGATGGAGGTTTGCTGTAGCTGCAGTGAGAGCATCACATAAACATCATTTAACATCGCTATTTAACATAGTTAATTTAACTATTGCACATTCATTGAAACAATGTGAAAATGTCTTTTTTAGTCTAATCCAGCAAATGAAAAACCTTACAAATTAAAGATTGGATTCTAATTTTTAAAATTAATTTGATCATTTTGTATTTTTTTTTTCATGGAATATCTTATTTATTAGATACGTGTTATTTTAGTATCATTAATATGTTTTTTATTAATATTTTGAATTAGTTATTTTATTTTAGTATTATTTGATTCTATTTTTAATTCCCATTTTAATTTTCATTAAAGTTTTGTTAAGTTTGTTGTGTTTTCCGTTTTATTATTAGTTTTATGTTCCGTGTTAGTTGTAGCTAAAGTTTTAATATCTGTGTTGTGTTTTCATTTTCCCCCCATTTTATTATTAGTTTTATTTTCCATTTTAATTTTAGTTAATATTTTAGTAATTTTGTTTTGTTTTCACTTTTTAAGTTTTTAAAAGTTTTAATTAGCCGTATTTTCCATTTTAATTTAATTTAATTTTAATTGAACTTTTATTAATTAATTTTTTTAACGTGTCTGTACAGTTTTTAATCAATTTTATTTTAGTTACTGTATTTTAATGCATCAAATCAAACTAAACTAAAAAGAGAAATTGGAGAAGTTGACTTGGCAACTAGCTGAAATAAAATATATTTTTGTAATATTATAATTTTTATTTCAGGTAATGTTTCTTTTATTTCAAGTAATGAAAATGTTTTGTATGATTTTAGTTTTAGTTAACGATAATAACCCTATATTAGGTTTTCCTACGAAACACAAATGCAAACTAAAATACTAATAAAAAAAGTTATTATTATTGAAATTAGAGCAAATTTCTAAAGAACAAGAAACGCATTTAAAGTCTATTTATTTGTGCAGATTTCAGCGCTAGAGTCTGGTGTTTTGAGGTGATGTTTCGGGTAATTAAAGCACCTCTGTCGTCTCAGGATCTCCTCTGAAGCCGCGGAAGGAGCTGCTGTTTGTGGAGCAGGCGTCAGGACTGCTGGAGGTCCGCTGGTCGTCCCGCTTTAACGTCTCGGTGGAGCCGGTGCTTTACGTGCTGCAGCGCCGCTGGAACTTGGGCATCCATCCCAGCGAAGACGACGCTACGCCGTGGCAGGACATCGCACAGGTCGAGCCGTTCACCTGAAATCATGACACTCTTGCTGAGAAAAACACAATGAGACATGAATAATTCGTTTAATTTAAGATCGTATTATTTAGTAATCCAGCTGGCACTTAAAAGACAATTAACATTCTGAAATATTATCGATTTGATGGCAATAGATCAGATTAAATGTAAAATTTAAAAATAATTCAAAATAAAGATGATTTATTTTTTAGGTCAGTGTTGTTTTTAGTATCATTAATACACTATTATAGTTTTTATTAAAACTTTTAATTTGAAAGGTTTTTGTATTCTCCGTCTGCTCAATCAAAAACAACAACAACAACAACAACAAAAAAACGAAGTTTAGTAGTAAAGACAGAAAACTTTGTTCAAAATTTTTTTTTCTAACTCGTTAATTTAGTCTTGGCAAAATGACTTAAAGATATTCAGTCTCATTTGAGTTCATAATTAAGTTCATAAAAGGTTTATGCATCAAATTGTATATTTTAAATAATTATGTGATGATGTCTATTTGGGCCTAATCCAGTGAATTAAATAGTTTACAAATTAACAACTGGATTAGTTTCTTTTTTTTATTTGGAACTTGAACAAAATAAAATATCAGATTAAATGAAAATATATGCACAATTTTTAAAGTATATTTTTAGTGTTATATTTAGTTTTTATTTTAGTTATTTTTCCCGTCTGCTCTGTCTGAATCCAACAAATAAAAATGAATTACTTATTTTTTCTTGTTCTAGAGCTGTTTTTCCTTTGGAACTTCATCACAATACAGTAAAGTCAGACAACTGCAAAAAATATTGACCTACCTCATTTTTTGTCTTGTTTTCCAATTCTCTGCTCTGTCTGAATCCAACAAATAAAAATGAATTACTTATTTTTTCTTGTTCTAGAGCTGTTTTTCCTTTAGAACTTCATCACAATACAGTAAAGTCAGACAACTTAACTGCAAAAAATATTGACCTACCTCATTTTTTGTCTTGTTTTCCAATTCAAATATCAAAACACTCTTAAATTATTAGACACATTTACTAAAGAAAATAAGTTTTGTTTTCTGAGAAATGTATCAAAGTTAAGGGACACATTCTTTTTTCTGACTCCAGTGGCAGATATTTGTTCTTGTTTCAAGCAAAAACTCACTTCATTTTGATACATTTTTGTCATTTTTCTTCTTCAGTAAGTGTATCTTGATTTAAGGATGTTTAAATATTTGTTCTGGAAAACAAGACATAAATGTGACCCTGGAGCACAAAACCGATTTGAAAATCTGGAATCTGAGGGTGCAAAAAAAATCTTAATATTGGGAAAATCATCTTTAAAGTTGTCCAAATGAAGTTCTTAGCAATGCATATCACTAATCAAACATTAAGTTTTGATATGTTTACGGTAGGACATTTACAAAATATCTTCATGGAACATGATCTTTACTTAATATCCTAATGATTTTTGGCATAAAAGAAAAATCAATGTATTGTTGGCTATTGCTACAAATATACCTGTGCTACTTATGACTGCTTTTGTGCTCCAGGGACACAAATACTGAGTTAGAAAATAATTTTTTGCAGTGTTAAAGCAAGTTAAAATAAACAGATGCACATATGTCTCTCCAGTCCTTCATGTTTTAAAATAGACCAGAATCCAGGCTCATATTCAGAGCCGCCTGTACGTGACCCTGTGAGCCCGTGAGTGCTGACCGTGACCTCTGACCCCTGTGCCCCTCAGGTTGCTGTAGAGCGCGCGCTGCTGAGCGACGTGCGGCCGAGCAGGTGGTATCAGTTCCGTGTGGCGGCGGTGAACGTTCACGGCACGCGCGGCTTCACGGCTCCCAGCAAACACTTCCGCTCTTCTAGAGGTGAGTCTGACAGATTTACACTCCTCACAGGTGCAGCTCTTCACCACACACCTCAGTCAGGCCTGATTTACTCCCTTTATCACTTTCATCTACTATTTAACAGGGATGCACAAAACTGAATTTTTGCCGATATCCGATGTGCCGATATTTTTCAACTCATTTAGGCCGATACCGATATATTTCCTTTTTTTTGGAAACAACAACACAAGTCTCTCCTGTGTGGAAATTATAAACACATTATTTAAAATTTGAGTTAGTTTTTAACAACAACTTATTTGTTAGAATTAAATAAACAACAATGAACTTCTTTTACAATGACAGTACATTAAAAGCTTTGAAAATAATTATAAATCAACTATATATCAATCGCTGCTTTTTTTTTTAGAATGATGCAGTGGTAACCTTAAAAACCTTAAAAATTCTGAAAATCTTTTAGAGCTCATAATTCGTTTAAAAAAACAAACATATAACACATTAATGAATAAATCTGTATATATAAAATTATTGAATTTACAAGTGTCATGTTTGTTTGTTTTTATTCATGTAAGCTATAGCTTCTGACATTTTCATCAAAACATACTCATGATTTTATGACATTAATACTGCTTTATTTTGTTCTTTGTTCACTTTACTTAGTGATACACATAGGCCAACAGCGCCCCCTATGTAAATAAAACGCCTTACCCGACCGTAAGGTTTGATAATATCGTGCATCCCTATCATGCATTAAGCTTCTTCTTCTTCTGAGACTAAATTTGGACTGCACCTCCTCCCAGAGTTTTAAAGCTACAACCACCAAATTTGGCACAGACCTTCAGACTGGTCTGACTCGGGTTGCTTTACATTTTCTAACTGATCGGACTTACCGTTTTCATTAAACAGATGCTCAAAATTAGGAAAAGTCCCATAGACTTTCATTGAGGGTGTCAAAACTTTTGCACTGTAAGACTTACAGAGTGTTTAAACCGGCAAAGCTTAATGACTATCATAGGACAACATGTTAGCAATGTGCTAATAATGTTAAAACATCCCAACACCATGCTAATCATGCTAGCAACATGTTATTCATGCTAAAAGCATGCTAGCAACATGCTACTCCTGTTATTTATTTATGTATTAGAATATGTATAACTTGCAAAAGCTGAATAATCAAAGTATACTGATTAATCAGTGAAACAACTGATGATTAGTCAGTTAATTATTCTAATAATCATTAGATTAATCGATTAGCAAAATAATCGTTTGTTGCAGCCCTAATTTTAAAGAATATTGGTAATCAGACAGCTGGTAGCCATTGACTGCCATAGTTTGGATTCTTCAAAATATCTTCTTTTGTGTTCAACAGAAGAAAGAAAGAATGAGGTTGAGTAAATAATGAAAGAACTTCTGTTTTGGGGTGAACTATCCCTTTAAAGCCGAAATCTAAAAACACCTGAACTGACTTATTTTTACAGTTTAAATTTATTTTAATTTTAAAATTGGTTTAGTCTTTGAGTGACACAGATGAATGTCCTGCTTCAAATATACAGAAAAATATGAATTCTTATAATATTAAAAATATATATGTATATACATAAACAGCCAAATAATTCCATTATCACAAATACAAAAATATATAGTTTATTAAAATAATAATAATACGTACATACAGTTTCATGATGGGTAAATTTTCTCAGTTCAGCTGCTGTGTTGTTATTGTTAACTAAAACTAGATATGCCTAAGACAAATGAAAGCTTCATTCGGGTCAAAGAAAAGCATTGCTCGCATTGCTTTCTTTTCATATGTCATGTTAACTTGTTAAATGTGCTGTAGACCATTTTCTGCGAAGTTCTCCCACACACTGGGAGTTTAGTTGTGTTACAGAAACAGATGTGCTTTCTCATCACACTCGTTTCACTGATATCTGTTATCTGTGCTGTTCCAGGAAAATATGTTTACATCAGCTTTTAATGTGTCATGAAATCAGTCTCAGCACCAGCTGCTAAATATCAGAAACCAGACAATCTATCTACTATAAAATAATCTCTCTCTCTCTCTCTCTCTCTCTCTCTCTCTCTCATATATATATATAAACACACACACACACATAATAAATAAATAAATAAACAAATACAAATAATTAAAAAAATAAATGAATAAATAAATAAATAACTCTGATTTGCCAAAAAGGCCTAAAAATACCTGAAAATTCCATGATGCTGAGATCAAAAGTATCATTAAGAGAAAAAGGATGAAGAATATTAATTTTAGTTAACAATAATTACTAAAATAATTGAAAATTATTAATAAAAATTATAAATAAAATAACTGAAAATATAAAAACGAAAGCTAATACTATAGAATATAAATAATACTACATGTTATTTAATATTATACAATTAAGTGATCTTTATAAATACTGTAAAAGTGCACTTCTGGGTTTGATCGGTCATTTTTATTGTTGTATTCTGTGTTTGTTCACATAAAAAGCAACTCGGTTGTCCTCATGATGTCGTAAACCTGTTACTTTACATTTCTGTACATTTTAATGAATATCTTGCCACTGTTTTCTATATAATGAATGTGAATAGAGAGTGGGTTTGTCAGACACACAAACCATCGGGTCTTTATTAAATGTGAGCCTGCAGCACAAAAGCAGTGTTAAGTCGCTGGGGGATATTTGTAGCAATAGCCAACAATACATTGTATGGGTCACAATTATACATTTCTCTTTTATGCCAAAAATCATTAGGATATTAAGTAAAGATCATGTTCCATGAAGATATTTAGTAAATGTCCTACCGTAAATATATCAAAACTTAATGTTTGATTAGTAATATGCATTGCTAAGAACTTCATTTGAACAACTTTAAAGATGATTTTCTCAATATTTAGATTTTTTTGCACGCTCAGATTCCAGATTTTCTAATATTGTCCGATCCTAACAAACCATACATCAATGGAAAGCTCATTTATTCATCTTTCAGATGATACATACATCTCAATTTCGAAAAATGGACCCTTATGAGGTTTTGTGCTCCAGGGTCACATTTGTGTTTTCTGAGCGTGTGCTGTCGTTCTCTGTGTTCAGACCCGTCTCCTCCTCCAGCCCCGTCTGGACTGAGCGTGTCTAACATCACGGTGGGACCCGACGGTCTGCTGACGGTCTGGATCAGCTGGACTCTCCCCGCAGAGCCTGATCTCCCCGTCCATCACTACAAGATCTGCTGGAGCTGGACGATCCCGGGGAAATCACTCGTCCCGTCCCGGAGGAAGAGGAGGAAGACCAGCGACGGGGTGAGAGCCGCTTTCACAAAACACTGAGAGAAACACAGAGATGACGATTCATCCTGTGAACTGTTTAAATCACACAGCAGGCCTTTCATTACGTCCTGTGGGGGAAATTTGAGTTTATTTATAAGATTGCATTTACACGAGCAGTCAGACGTCATTCAGTCAGAGACTCTACATGATTAACCCTTTACTGTTCCTGGATCCAAGATATTATATTTATATCTAATGGCTACATGGCAAAATGCTGCAAAAGATATACAAAAAATACTGCCTATTATTATTAATTAATTCAATTTTTTAGCCACTGTGTATATAATAGTTACATCACACATGGCATTCATTGAAATAATATGCAATATTTTTAGTATTAATTTTATATTTGTATTTATTGTTGTAGATATTATATTTCCAATTAATTAAATGTATAGCCACTGAGTTACAGTAGTGTGCAATATAACTATTTTTAAAATATATATTTGTATATTTTTTGTATGTTATTTATATCTAGGGGCTACTTTACATTATATACATGCATATATTATACAAAATAATATATTAAATAAATAAAAAAATTATATGTGTGTGTGTGTGTGCATTTTATGCATTTTGTAATATATATATATATATATATATATATATATATATATATATATATATATAACATATATAATATTTTTGCATTCTATAGTTGCTTAGAAGTGTATTTATAAGAGCATTTTCAGACATAATTACTCTTATTAAGTTTTGCATTTGTATATATTTAGAAATGATCAAACACTACTTTATCATGGCTGATTTGCTGATTGTACCCCAAAAATTGCTCTGTATTTTCATATTTCTTTATAATGGTGGTCATTTTAACCACAAGTGTTTTTAAGACATTTTCTAATCATGTCCACAATTTTTGCACGGTTCATATAGCAAGTGTCACGAAAGTCACCAAGTTTCGTACCATTGCAATAAAGTATAAAATGTAAAAAAAAATAAAAGCAGCATTTTTGGGTGTAATCTGTCCGAAGCCCAGCGGTGGGTTAAAGGAACACAGCAGAAGCGATCTGATGACATGCTGAAGTGCTGCTGCTACTGAAGCTCCTGTAGATTGAGAGCAAACCCTGCAGTGACTGTGTTCATAACACCGACACTCGATCGCTCTGTTGACACGCAGCCGCAGCTCCTCAGGGTTTGGTTAGTGACCCGCTGCTGCTGGAATGCCCAAACTAACCCTCTCATAAATGTATAAATAAATATAAATGAATAAATGACAAATATATTATATATATTAAATATGTGAAATATATTATATGTTCAATATATGTCAGATTTATATTGAATGTCAAATATATTAAATATTTTGAATATATTATATAGGGATGCACGATATTATCGGACTGATATCGGAATCGGCCGATAATGGCTTTAAATGTAAATATCGACATCGGCCCGATATGAAAAACTGCCGATATGTCTTGCCGATAAGAGGAATACATTAACTCACATGTGCTCAGGGCGTGCTAGCGATCAGATCAGGTCAGCATTGTGGCTCATTCTTGAAGCAAAGTTTTGCCTGAATGGTGATTGGATTCACTGTTTTGGATCGCTGCATTTAAACTGAGAATGCACGTACAAAATGATGCGTTCAGAATGCACGTACAGAATGACGCGTTCGTGTGTGATAGAGTAAACAGTAATAGCACGTGCAGCGGCAGCCTCCATGCTTGCGATTAGATCACGTCAGCAGTGTGGCTCATTCCTGAAGCAAAGTTTTGTCTGAATGATGATTAGATTGACTATTTTGGATCGCTGCATTTAATCTGTGAATGCACATACAGAATGACGCGTTCGGTGTGTGATAGGGTCAACAGTAATAGCACTTGCAGCGGCAGCCTCCCCCGGGTCCTAATGCGCGCTCGGTAAAGAGTTTTAATCTGTAGGGGGCACTGTTGGCCTACTTCTAATTAAATTAAAAGTAAAATAGCCTACACAAATAAAATTATAGAAATATTTAAAAAATTGTACTGTATTTTTTTATCAAATTAATGCAGCCTTGGTGAGCAGAAGATACTTAAAAAAAAAACATGTAAAAATAATGTTTCCAAACTTTTTCAGCACAGGCAGGAATACATCATTTAGAACTAGATGTCCAAATAAACACTAGAAGTGTGAATCAGCTTTGTGTCTCTGGCTGTTTATAGATGTGTGTTTGTGTGTGTGATGTGTTGTTTAGAAGCCGGATCTAAGCTGAGGAGACTGGAGGCTCCTGATCTGGGTTTGGTGTCGATGAAGCGAGCCGCGGGAGCTCTGGAGGTCGGCACACCATATTACCAGGACGCACAGCTACAGGTCCGCATCTACTGGAAGAAGAGAGGAGGTACAACACACACATCAACACACACCAACACACACACACAACACACACACACATCAACACACACCAACACACACACACACAACACACACACACATCAACACACACACACAACACACACACAACAACACACATCAACACACACACAACACACAACAACACACACATCAACAACAACAACACAGACAACACACACACACACACACACACACACACAACAACACAGACAACACACACACACACAACAACAACACACATCAGCACACTCAACAACACACACATCAACAACAACAGACAACACACACACATCAACACAAACAACAACACACACATCAACAACAACACAGACAACACACACACATCAGCACACTCAACAACACACACATAAACAAAAACACACACACCACACACCTCAACTCAAGCAA